TCGTTACACGCGAAATTACTAAATGTGACAAACAATGCAACAAGTTGTAGGAGTACTCCGTTTACAGAATGAATAGGGTCGATAAAGTGAGCATAATCGAGGAAAACTTGATAGCATATCATTCTTCGGTATCGCGCTGAGTGCTTTCTGGCTGTCTCCAAGAACAATCTCACAGATTTGACAATAGCCTGGTGTTCTTCGCAAACTTAGTGCACGACTTGAACGTATAGCTACATGCAATAGCCGTGCACCTCCCCTAGCTCCAGTATTTGTTTTCATCCATCTCTCTTTCGAAATGAGGTTTCAATCAAGGTCGTACATCAGATATATTGACGAAATGTTTTACATCGGAGCCTAGCAGACTGGCCTGTTAGATTTCTTTGCTAAAATTAGAAACGCTATCCCAACATGTCTGTCATACCGGTACAGAGCGCTCAATAAAGTTAATTGCTCCCTCCACACCTTATTTGTAGTACCGCTAGACGGGACCTAAACCGCAGTAATACGCTTCAAGCCCATGGTGCCCCCATTATACTAGACTTCTTGTCGGCACGCCCATGACTAAACAACAAGCAGCCATGAAATCTCAAATATTAAAAGCGTTGCGCGTTTCTTCTGTCCTTCAGTCGTGGAGCATAATGTGTTTGAAATGGAATTAAATGGGAAGTGCTCCTCGTTTTCCGTGACCATATATACCCGTAAAAACGAGTGTCCGGTGCCGCTTGTATCGTGCCTCTTCGATGTAATTCCTCATCACGTCCAAAAACAAGCCGTAAAAAGGTGAAATAAACGCATTCTTCATACGTGGGGCACGTCGTCATAGATGACGTAATGTCAGAACAGGGATGTGCCGCGCTAACACTGCACAGCGGAATGACTGCAAACAGGGGCGGGTTCAGTATGTCGTGAAGGGGGGGGGGAGCACACAACATTGTGGTGCCCCATAGAGTTTGGGGTCCCCTCCAAACAACTTCTGCCATTAAATTTTAAGATAAAAGGGTAAATTAGTGGTTTGTGGATAAGGGTAGTTTAGTCACGTAGGGTAAGTTAGATAAGTAAATAAATTTAAGTACATTACATCCCTAGGTTTTTAGCCAAAGAAGTGCTAGCTTTTAGCCTTTATTTTGTTTTGTTACTCTTTATAGCCCTCGTTTTCTACGGACTGCGCAGCGTAACATGGGTTCCACTACTTAAATGATTTGTTTTATGCATAAATGTGCATTTATATACATGTATATATATATATACATGTATACATTTTATGTATATATATATATATATATATATATATATATATGTAATAGTAAATACGGGACCCCACGCAAGCAATATGCACGACCTTAGGGTAGCATGGCTAGCAGTCCTCATCCTGATTTCATTCCAGTTGACCGCTCCAGGAAAACCTAGTGTTCCGTGGGGGGTGAAAGGTCCTCACGTTTGCGCCAAAGGGTGGAAAATGGAATGAAAAAATGGGGTAAGACATCAAATATTCAGGAACTTAACTACAGGGACATTTCAGGTGGGATCATCGAAGCGTAAGATTTCAGACCGGTTCATTGGACACCTTAGTGGCGCACGTATACAGAAGGTGCGCACATCGTTGCTAGGAGAACATGATGGGTAAACACGTCAAGTATACCTAATGTCGATTTAAGTAATCGCATCGCATGCGTAGTTTGATAGATGCAACATTGCACAAGAAACACCAGCTGTAAAGAAGATGGTTTAACGCCAGGAGCCAAGTATTCATATATTTAAATTGTTGTGCGCAATCGTCGACTTTGTTCGAGGCAAGTAAGCATGCATCACCGTAGGACGTCACATGAGCAGCGTTTTTCATACATCTAGAAATGGCGCGTTAGTCATTGTCTTGAGCACCTTGACCTAATGATTGGTGCTGGTCATCTTTTACTTCAAATATAACTGTCTGTGTTTCGATCAGCTTTCCGCATGTGCTGGATATGGGGTGTTTCTATAATACCATATTGAAGAATATTCACCCTCATTCAACAATATTCACTACTGACCACGAAACATTTTTGATGTTAGCTTGCTATTGCTGAAAACCCATCCCATAGCACAATGCTAGTGTATGATGCCGGAAGCGATTATTAACTCGAACTTATTTGTTGTTTGAACTTGTTTGAACTTATTAACCCGAGCTTATGATGTCTGCATTATACTGACAACCGAGCAGTCAAGATCGGCATCCAGAATTACCCACTGCTGGTGTCGATTTCGACAATTATATTTTCGGGCATAGCGCGGCTATAATTCCATTTCATATTCCGCCTGCTTTCAATGGTTTTTTTTAGCACCCCAAAATGCAGGCAAACCTTACCGGGCTCAACTTTGACAATCGGCGACTAATGCTCGGCGCGGCGCCTCCAGCCGGCTCCAATGCGTCGTGGAGCGGACATGGATCTGGTACTAAGCTAGTAATCCGGCCGGCCAGCCTCACGCGCGTGGTCTTGGTAATGGTGTCGACTGTATGTGCGCGGCCGGCGCTGGGCGGAGCAACGCTGCCTGCCAATAAGGGCGATTATTCATACCCTGGCGGCCGCTGTAGGAACTAGTTCGGAAGCTTGGGTGTTTGGATATTCAGTACCTTGGACAATGCGTACACTGGACATTCTGTACTTTGGACAATCTGTACTTTGGACATTCTGTACATTGGGCATTATGAAACGGGCCCTTCCCACTCTGCGCCATTTTGGAAGTTATTTCTCATCTTGGACATTGTGTACCTTGGACATTATGAACTTTGGACATGCTGTACCTTGGACATTCTGTACCTTTGGCCATTCTGTACCTTGGACAGTATGGTACGGACCCGTTTGGTCTCTTTAGCTCTGTTGAGTTTTATTTCAGATCACCACGTGCAGATTGCAGACGGTGTCAAGGGGGCGGGAGGGGGGGGGGGCGATATGGCCAAGTATCGCTTTCCTCGCACTGAAGTAAGAACTCCTCACGTCCGCCATAAACTCTTCCACATCGCCGTTAACCCCAGAGCGGTTGCTGAATCGCTAACATCTTCTTGGAGCGCCACCCTCTCGCGTTGTCGTCCGTGCCGTGGCCGCTGCCCGTGCCGGCTTCGGCACGGCCCGGGCCGTCTAAAGCGGGCGCCACTCCGCCGGAGACAGACGCCGGCGTGGCGTGGAGACGGACGGTGGTGTCTAAGGCGCGGCGGATGTGGCGCAGCGATCGCCTATCCGGCTGGATGAAATCGCAGCCGGCAGTCACGAGCCGATGTGTCGGCGCCAAGGTCGCATAGTTGCGACCGCTCCCCGCGGCTGGGCGTGGGTTATTAGGTCTCGGGCGCGCGGCCGGGGCGCGCCACGGCTCACGGGCGAGAGGCGTCGGCCGAGCGCGCGTGGCGTGGGCGGACGGGGCGGGTGGCGGCCACGGCAGCGCCGCCGCTCCGCTCGCGCCGCACATCGATCGCGTCGGCCGCCGCCACCGCGGGCGCACGCCTGTCGGCCGCCGGCGCCGCGCTGCGCGGCTGGCGACTCGTTGTCAGGCAACGGCGGTAACGCGCCTGATTGCCGCCGGATTGGCGCGGAATTGGACGGGCCGCGCGACCGGCGCCAGCGCGCCTCCACGGCCGGTCCGGCGCGCGGCGTCGACGCACGGCCGGCGCCGTGGCGTGCGGAGCTGGGCCGCGGCGGTGGCGGACGGGCGCGGCGTGCTGATGGACGGCGGTTGCACGCGCTGGTCGCTGCGCGGACGGGTGACCTCCACCGCGTCTGTGACCCGGGGTGCCCCAGCTGGTCGTCCTGCTCTCGTGCGCGATTGGTGCTGACGGCGCTGACTGGGTCTTATTATGGTCGCCGTCCCATCCTCAGTGCAAGCTTTTTACGACGCTAGTGGCTTATGGTTGTCGTTTCGGCCCCGTTGCTAGGTCGGGATAACGAGCGTGTGCTTCGAAAGCTGTTGTCAGCTGCCTAGTTTTCTGCCAGCAACAGACAGGGCTGTCTTTAATCCTACTCCCGGGATGCGTCAGCCAATGCGAGTCCCACTGATATGCGACCGAAAGCCATCGATCAGAACGCCATAAATGCCGCTTCACTGCGACAGACCGCGACGTCGACCTACTTTGTCGACGTCGAGCGGAACTTCTGCGAATTGAGGGCTGGTCTGTCACTGCTGATAATCGGCTGGATATCGTGCTATCGTACCGTCCGCGTGTGCGCGGCGCCCACGCTGGCGTTCCCGCGACATGGCAGTCGACCGCATGGAGGCTATCAGTCCGGTCACGTTATATGCGCCTGGGGAGTGCGATACAGTCTGATCGATTCGACGGAGGACTCGATAGTGCCGTGCTGGGCGTGCACGGCCGGGGCGCCCCAGGGATCGTGAGGGCGAGCCGCCAGGCAGGGGGGTGGGCTGCCACCTGGCCCGGCCTGGCACCGTCCGGCTGCCGGGGACGTTGCAGCGGGGAGGGGGAGGGATGGATGGCGCCGCTTCGTACCGACAGCGGGGGCCAAGTAAAGGCGGCGGCGGCAAACGACGATGGCGTCTTGGCCTCGGGCTACCACACACACGCACACTAACACCGCGAGCACATTCGAGTCGTGAGAGCGTTTTTTGCCGATGTTTGCGTCTCACGTGTCTCCTGTCCAGACACCTGCCAGCCGACGTGTGTGTCGTTCTGTCGGCCGTAATCCAGGTGTGCGCAGCCACGACCGAGCCCGAACTCGGCGACGGCGTCCGCCGTGCTCTGACATTTACAGCCTCCGCCGCGGCCGCCGTAAACTTTCTGTGCCGCTGACGAGGCCGGCTTAAGACCGCCCGGCCGCCAGCGTAGTGGGAGGCGCCGTCCGGGACCGGGTGTGCCGGCAGGGGAGCCGCGTGAGGCGGCTTCTCGCGGCCACCTCCCTCCTGCGACGCACGCTGGCCCGTGGACTGCCGACACGTGTCGGGGTGTGACCCTGAGCAGGCTGCGAATAGCTGACCCGCTGACCTGTCACCGGTCTGACCCGCCGCCGCCCGGCCCGCAGGCACCTGGACGAGCTGCAGCTTGAGGCCGACAACGAGCTGGGCTCGCTGCAGTCGTTCGGCTCGGCCAGCCTGGCCTCCGACTCGGACAAGGTCAGTGGCGGCCGCGCGCCGGCCGGGGTCACCGCCGCCGGGGGCCGACCTATTCCGGGAGCGGCCGGCCCGCTGTCGGTGCGATTTGCCGCTCGCCGGGGAGCCCGTGAAATGGGAGCCGTCCGGATGTCCCCGGCGCCGGGCGACCATGTGTTGTTTGCGCCGAGTGCTCGTGGTGGGGCATTGCACGGCGTTGTGCCAGGCGGTGGCGGTGAGTGCCCTGTTGGCAGTGTTGGACGCATGTAGTTTGTGACTGTTGCGAGCAGTTTGCTGTGCTGATGCGTCTACAGTCAGAATGGCCAGGCTCACGCGATGGACTTCTTTCAGTGAATTACGTGACTGGTGAGGTGTCCTGCGATGGAACAGTGTCTGTGAAGACAAAATTGTTTTGACCGAACTGGCCTGTGCAAGTTTTTGTTGCGTTCGATTCGACGTCCTTGCTTGGCGTGATGATCGGTGCCGTTTCAATCTTGCGCGACGCAACAATGAGACGCGCTCAGATTGGGACATGATCGCCCCTTGCGCTTGGCTTATGCGCCAAGCGCCGGCTCAGCCCGGTGTTGAGGCCGTCAGAGGGCGGGGGGGGGGGGGGGGGGGAAGGGGGCTGTTTGGCTGCGCGAGGCACTTAGGGCGCGGCACGCCAGCCTTCAGCGGTGCATACTTCGGAGTGACTGTACCGTCGGTGGACCGTAAATCCTGCTGCCGAGCGCCGTCGCTTGGCGTGTAGGGTGGGGCAAGGACCCAGCGCTGGCTGCGTTTGGGCTCAGAGCGCCAGGATGCCGCGGTATGCCTTTGGTCCGCGCTGTCAGCCTCGCGCTGATTTCGCATCTTGTGTTGGGGCGCTCGCATTCTTGTCACCAGACGCTTCGACACGGGCCGAACGGCTGTCCGTCTGTTTGTGACCGGCGCCAATGGCCGTCGGGAACGGCGGCGGCGTCACCCGACCGGGAACGGAGTCCGTGTGCGATCCGCTGACTCACGACCACCTCCGGACCGGCCGGCTTCGACCGCCGCGAGCGGACCGGGCCCGGCTGCCCGGAGCGGCGAGCCGCCGCCTCCTGGCCTCGCCACGCGCTCCCCGGACACCGTCCAGTCCGGACGTCCCGGTTGGCTCGCCTGCGCCGGCCGGCCGGGACGCTCAGCCGGCGCTGTGTGGCGGCGCGGCGGCTCAGCCTGGTTTCGCCAGACCTCCCGGATCCCCAGCGGTCAGGCAGGGTCAGCTACCATGGCCCGGGACGCAGCAGCTCGGCTCGGTCTGGAGACGCCGCCGTCGTCAGCTCAGCCGGCGGACATTACGCGGCTGTGAGCTCGTCCTGGAGACGCGGTCGCAACTGTCTGCCCAGTCTGGAGACATGTCCGTGGCCACTCAGGCCGTCCGGGGACATTTCCGTCGCTGCTATTTCCGCGTCAGGCCCAAGTGCCGAAACAGTTCCGCCAAAGCTTATGAGATAAAGAGCGACTTATGTCGAACTAGCTGCAGTGCCGGCCGGCTAGGAATGCCTTGCCAATCAAGCACGCTCGTTAGAAAACGACGCGAGTCGCGTCTCGACCAACCAGACTGGGCCGTACTGTTCGACGGTTCGGTGCCGGCGGCCGACCGGCGGAACCGGTCCGGGCCGGCGCGGCGACGGCGCCGACCGCCGCGTCGGTCGCGCCGGACCCGGCGGCGGCGGCGGCGGCGGCCGGCAGTAGTGCGGACGGTCGCGCGCCAGTGTGGGTGCGGGTCGGGGCGGGCTGGCCGCCGCTGTGTGGTCTGCCGGCGTCGGAGCGCGACGCACTGTCCGTGGCCGCGGCCGCCACGCGCGCGCGCGCGCGCGCGAGTGGTGTGTCGAGCGGAGGGCGGCGCGCCGCTGCCGCCGCCCCCTCCGCCGCCGCCGCCATGTCGGCCAAGTCGAAGGCGCGCCGCAAGATCTCGCTGCCGTGGTTCCGTCAGTCGTCGTTCGTAGCCAGCTTGCCGCTGTTCCGGCAGCACACGATCGACACACCGCGTGGCTTTCGCGGCCAGGTGAGCCGCCGCTGTCCCTCTGCCCGGCGGGCGACCATCGTCGCTGGACGTAGGTAATACCGTGGCTGTCCTCCTCAGTGTTCTGGCTACAGGTCGCTCTCCCCGCCGTCCCGTCCCGTCTCTAGCTCCTGTGCCCTCCCGTCTGTGCCGCTGGCGGCCCTCTCCGTTGTCCCTTGCATCCGACATCCTACTCGCTCATCTCCAGTCGCAAAATGTGAGCGCACGCGGCACACCAGCCGCCTCGGTGCAAGAGCGGGGCGGTACTCCCCGTTAGCAGGAGGCAGGTCGGCTGACGACACCTCGACAGGCGTCGCCTGTTCCATATTCATAGGCGGCTGCTGGGCCCGGACGGCCGCAAGGCCGCTCCTCCCTGGCCGCCGGAGCGCCTCGCTCAGCCTGGTGGACGGCTATCCTCGGTGGGAGGGACAGATGTCTATCCTCGGCCAGAAGGACGGACGTCTATCGTCGGGCGGAAGGACGGGCATCTATCCTCGGGTGGAAGGCGTGACGTCTATCCTCGAGTGGACGTCTGTCCTCGGGCGGACGTCTGTTCGCGGGCGGAGGTCTGTCTTCGGGCAGGCGTCTGTTCGCGGGCGGAGGTCTGTCTTCGGGCGGACGTCTGTTCTCGGGCGAACGTCTATCCTCGGACGGATGTCTGTCTTCGGGCGGACGTCTGTTCTCGGGCGGACGTCTATCCTCGGCCACGTCTGGCCTGCGCAGCCCGGGTGGCGTGACGTGGTCGTCCCGCCGCTTGAGACACGGGCAAGGCCACAACTGCGCCGTTGTTACGTGCGTGCTCTGTCTCTGGCAAAAGTTTTTGCCTACGCACATATCAACGCCCGGCTTTATGTTGCGTTGAAGAAAAAAAAGTGATTGACGCGCCAGAAAGCCGCGCCCTGCCACCGTTTCTTAATACGAAACCCAAAATGGAGCGTACCCTCGTGTCCCGTTAAGCACTCCCGAGCCCGTAATCTTGACGCATGGCCTTTTGTGGCCGTGTCTTTATGGATGACGTGCCGACGCTCGCTGTCGTGCCAGCGCGCTGCCCCTGCTCCGACCGCCGCCAGGCCGCTCAGCTCGCCGGGCGGCAGACCTAGTGCGCGTGTCGTCATGTGGTGGCCGTCTCCGCCGGTCCGGTCAGCCGCCGCCGCTCCGATTGGCCGTCGGCCGAACGCCGATCGGCCCAACGCCAATCAGTGCGTCCGTCGACTGGCAATCATCGGCTGTCCCCCCGTGCGTCATAAATGTCGCGCCAGCGCAGGTGTCGCCGCATCGAAGCCGCGCGTCACCCAGATGTTGGAACATTGCAGTCTCATTTTTCCGTCATCCAGGCGCCGGGCGCATTTCCGATTGCCGCTTGCCCCTCCCCCCCCCCTCCCCTGCCGTGGGCGGTGCGAGGGGAAGGGGGCCGTCGGGCCCGCTCAGTGCCCGCTAACCGGCCGGGAATGGTTTGTTGAACAGTGCCGGTGGGCGCGTTTACCACGGCGCGGCGCCTGTGATCTGGTGCGTCGTCGCTGAGCACCGACTGTTGTTTGTTCGGCATGTTTGTTGTGCTGATGGTACGCCATTACTTGGCGTTGTGTGCGGTGGTGATGCCTGTTGGCTGTTATTACACTAGGCGTCTGTTGGCAGAAGTCGCGGCCCGCGCCTTGTAGGATCGGATGTCCGCATCAGCCATGTCTTCAAATGCAGGCTGATGGGCGACACGCACTGGGCGATGAGTTTCGCGGTTTTGCGCGGTACATCGAGTGGAAGTGTAGCGCAGTGGTGCTCTGTGCTTCCTTTTTACAGCTGATAGGCTGGCGACGCCGGCGGTGCTGAGGCTGAGCCCGCTCCGGCGGCGGCTGGGCGCGGTCTCACCCTGGCCCTCGCCGTCGACGGCAGGCGGGGCAGCGCGGTTGCGTGCTGTCGACGGCGCATCACGGCTGGGGAGGGGGGGGGGGGAACACCACCTCTGGCGACTGTCACCGCCGCTGGCTCCGCCCGCCCGGCCGGACCAGGTCCGACCGGATCGGGCCAGGCCGCTCTGGGTGGTACCCCCTCCCCCCGTCCGCGGCGTCGCAGGCTGTCATGTTTTACGCCAGCTGTCATGTATCTCCTTCGTATGCTTTCCGCTGTTCTAGCTGATGGTGGGGCGCGGCCATTAATCTTTCCTTGTGAGCATCTGCTACACGCGCTGTGTTCTGGCAGATGAGGCCGATTGGCGAATGGGCCAGATTGGGCCCGTGCACGCGAGCGTGGATCATCGTACCGTTGCGAGGACAGAGCGCGAGATGGCCTCTCCCGGGAGAGGCCGCGTGCTGAGAGAGAGAGAGAGGTGTCCTGTCTCCTGGCGCGAGCGCGACTATCGGGATGTGGCGCCGCGGGTGTCCGCGATGGCGTCCGAGGGTCTGTCTGCCACAGGGAGCGCCGTAGAGACACGGTCGGGTCACGCCTTCCGCTGCCCACCGCTTTGGAGGGATCGGGCTCTGCTCGCCAAATTCGCCTGTCGCAGCAGCCGGGCGTTTGGACGCCTCTCGCCTCCGTTGGTCGTCTTGCCTGACGCCGGCCGCCCCGTTCCGTGCTTGGGCCGTGCGGTCGCGTCGCATGAGGCCACGGTTCGCAGCACGTCACGTGCGGGAAGGGGGGGAGGGGGGAACACCGTCCGGAGACGCTCGGCTGTCGTGCAGCTGTGATGGGCGTCGCCGGTCGATAGCGGCCCCTGCGGCGTGGCGTGACGACTTGAGATGACACCACGGGCCAAGCGTGCCGTGACGCCGGGCTGGGCCCCGCGGCTTCGGCTGGGCCCCGAAGCGAGGTTGTCGCGTGGCCGGTCGGCCACTCTCGTATCCGTTTGAGACCGCCGCCGCCGCCTTGGTGGCGTAGCGTAGGCCAAGCGTAGGTTACCGCTTCGTCGCGCCAGAGGTGCGAGCTCATCTCGCCGCTGGTCTTTTGTCCATCCGCGAGGCCGGTCGGTCGAATGTCCGCTTGTTACGCGGAGCTTCCCCGTACGTGTCCCGCGCTCGTCGCCGGGGCGGTTATTAGGTGTCGACGTTTGCGGTCGGCGGCGAGATACGAGTGTGGACAGAGGCGGAGCTGGTCGATGGGCAGCTTCGTAGCGGACGGTGCCTGCTGAAACACGGCCATTGGCGGCGCTGACGCAAGTCGCGCCGTGCCGCCGCTCGGCGCGGACGGACTGCCGCCGCGGGCTCGCTCGCGGCACTGAATGGGCACATGCATGTTACACGACCCAATGCATATCTGACAAGCAACCGGCGCACTTCAACTAGTATGAAAATGCATCGGGCGCAATGTGAATGGTAAGCGCTTGAAAGTCTGACTTTGCGTCGGTTTGAATGGAATGTACGTCGATTCGGTGAAGGTGGTGATCTTACAAATGACCCGTTCATAGTAACGAATAGTGCTTGTACACAGAGCCTGCCAACAGGACGTACGATGTCCCGGCCTGCTCGGACGTGCAGCCTCCGTGTTTCGTCGGCACCGCGGGTGTGGCGCAAGCCGCGGTGCGAGATACGGACGAGACCATTAGGTTGTCCTGTTAGGCGGCGGTGGTCTCGTTAACGTTACGCGAAGTCGGACAGCCGTGCTGTTCTTTCTGGCGGCGGCCGGCCGCCTTGTTATGACAACTGCCGGCGCTGGAGCGACGCTCTGGCTACATCCGACCGTCGCGACCGTCGGCACCGAGCGCCGCGGCGCGCCGGACGCACCGCCCGCTGGTGTCTCACGCGCGCCGGCTCCGCGCCCAACACAGCGTCCACAGCCTGCTCGGCCGTCCACGGCGTGCGGCGTCTGCCCCGGTAATACCTGGACTGGGGATCCACTGTCCAGCTCTCTTAGACCGAGTGAGAATGTGAACGAGCATTGGCGGGCGTGACGTGCGCGTGGCAGCGGAGCTCGGCTGAATGCGAATGGGTACTGGGCGGTTCCGCGGTGGGAATCCGGATGAGATGGGCGGCCCTGTCGGAAGATGCCGCGACAGAAGCGGCGCCTCGCAATCGATGCGGGCCAAAGCCGAGCTGTGTCGGCGGCCCCAGCGTGTTTGTTGTGGCCGCCGGAGCAGCCGGACCCGCCGGCGCCCAGGTCGCGGCTGGCGCGCCGCCAGCTCCGGTCGTGCTCTGCGTCTGTCTGCTAAATCGGACGGCCGCCGCCGCGCGCCTCGTCCCGACGAGCGGCCGTGGGAATCGTGGCAGGCCTGGTGCGCTGATTTGCCGTCGCCCGGCAGACGGTCGGGGCGACGAAGGAGGCGCGTGGGCCCGCACCGGCGCGATGCCGATGCCGACGCCGCGGTGGCCTGGCAACTTCGTCAGACGCGAGCCAATGGCCTGGCAACTTTCCGCATGCAAATGTTTCCTCTTCGACTTGTGCTGGGACTTCAAATAGCGTAGCGCGAATTTTCGAGTGAGCCTGTGTGTCCCCTGCTTAATGCGGATGGCCGGTCCGATGGGAATCCATTGGGACTTGCAATGCCAGGCATGTCTGTGTGGTCGTTGGAAGGCGGTCTGCGCAAAATTGGAATTGGTTTTGCAGAACTTTCCTGACGCGCTTCGACCATTGGGAACCCGGCGCCGCGGTCAGATGAGCCACGCTTTCTCTGGTTCCATACTGGCGCAGCCCCGAGGTCCAATTTATCCGGGCGTTGTGGGCGTTGTTGTGTGGTGTGCCGGCTCCGCTTCATCCCGCGTTCTGGTGCGCCGGCAGCGCCGCCGGCCGCCGCTCGGGCTATTGTTTGTCGCCGGCGTGGCCACGTGTGTCCCCTGGGGCGCCAGGACGACCGCCGGCCCAGCTCTGAGTGGTGGTCCGAGCCGACTTGTCGGCGTCTCCGAGTGCCAGCGCGTCGCCCGGGCGCCACGCCACCGCACACACCAGTCGGCCCGGACTCTACGTGAATGAAGGCCGGGAGCTGGCGGCCGCCGACGGCGGAGTGGGAGCCCCGGCCCCCGGCGGTGTCGGTCGGGGCGCCGCCGCGCCGCCAGCGGGCCACACCGTGGAGAGTGGGGTGGGGACGTTCCGGTGGGCGTCCGAGCGCCGCGCCGTCGCGCCGTATCGCCGCGCCGGTGGGCGGGTGCGGCGGTGACGGCTGGCGTCTGGTCGGTGTCTGTCGCGCGCCGGCCGGCCTGTCGCGACAGTTCTTCCCCCCCCCCCCCCCACCACCACCACCACCACCACCACCACCACCTCCCATCTCCGTCCCCCTGTCCCGAGTGGCCGGCCGAGACCCGTGTCGAGTGCGGCGACTTCAGCCACGGCCGCGGACGGTGGTAGCGGCCTGCGCCGGCAGGCGGACGGGACGAGCGCGACGGTCCAGTCTGTCGTGTCGGGCCCGGCCGCGGCGGCGACGGCGACAGCACGCTATTTCTGTGGCGACGGCTCGTTATTGTTGGAGCGCCGCTGGTCGAGTGACGCGCGTCCTCACTAACAGGCGCAGGCGCCGCTGTATTTTCGTTAGCCAGAAAACGGAGGAATTAGCCGACGACCGTCATTCTGGAGCTGCCGGGCCAGAGACATCTGTTGTCGATGTGTGAAAGCGTCCAATTTTCGTCGAGCTTGTAGGTTGGTTTTCGGAGTTTGCATTGGGCGAGATTTTTCATCAATCCGAGCGAATGTTTTGACAACACTTGTAACTGGGATAAATTATGACGCTAGCGATTTATGTGGCGGATTTTTCCTCCGTCAGGCGGCTCGGCTTCACACAGAAGCAGGCGTGCGACAAGCATAACGCGAACGCGTGCTGGATGTATTGTATTGTTATTCGTGAACGCACGACTCCGCCACCGTCATCAGCAGCTGGGCCATTGGAAGCTTCTAGGATTGAGAATCGAACTACCATCGCTGGATGTAAAGCCTTGCGGTCCATCCGTATGGCCACGTTTATCCCATTTTGTGTAGCTCCCTCCACAATATGGGCTTAACGCGATAGGGGGTGGGGGTGGGGGGGGGGGGGTGATAGTTCTGCGGGCAAATTGGAGCGGAGGCAATGAACAATGGTAGACAAATGTGTATAACAGATGTGTGTAGACAGATATAACCCGTAGGGACCGTATTCGCCGTCCGTCGCGGACGCGTCTGGGCGAGTGGCGCTTCCTCGCGTGGCCGGTACCACCTCGGACCCGTCCGGCGCTTCCTCGCGTGGCCGACGCCACCCTAAACCCGTCTGGCGCTTCCTCGCGACAACCATCAGCGATGGGAAGCGCGTTTCGGAGTAGCCGGTGGCTGATGTCTGCCGCCGACTAAATCAAAGGGGCTCATGCATGAGAAGTTGTTACAGCTGCGCACCGCACCGGAAACTATTCCGCCATTAATCATCTGCGAAATGGCACGGGGTAACCGGTCTCAACGCGAGCAGACGGGACGGGGCCGCGCGGATTTTGTCACTTCGCCTGCGCTCAGCCGTCTGGTGGCATCCTTGGCGTACATGTCTGGTAACGATAGCGCCAAGTGGCAGGTGGACGGGTTCGCCGCATAAATAAAGGCACTCATCGGGGCGGCGCTCGGCGTAAGCTGACGTAAGGCTGCTTCCCGCTCCCTGCCGTCGTCCGTCTAGCCGGAAGCCTCACGGCGGCAACGCGCCGCGCGCCTGCGTGAGAGACGCGTGCCGCGTCTCACCTCTGTCCGGGCAGCGAGCGAGCTGGCGGCCTCACGGCTGTGACGCGTGGCCAGCTGACAGCCGCCCAGCCGCCGGTCGGCGTCACCTGTCACAGGCGCCACGGCGCCCGGCGACGCGTCGTCGGACGAGACGGCGAGACGGGCGGCCCTGACGGGTCGGCGTCGACGGGGTGCGAGGTCACGTCGGGGCGCCGCCGGGCCGGCCGTCGGCGGCCAACCAGGCTGGGGCCAGCTGGCGCGCTGACGCCGCGGACGGGGACCTGCCGGCCCGGCCCGCTCTGTCAGACCCGGCACGGACGGTTCGGTTTCGGTTGTCAGCACCCGATGATACGAAATAATAATAGCCGTCCGGGGCTGGCTCGTCCTGTCGTCTGGTCGGGCGCGGTCTTCAGCCCCGGGGAAGGGCTGACGGGGCGCCGGCCAGTGGTGAAGCGAGCGCTGGCCGGCCGGTGGGCCGGTGTCGCGTCCGGCCGTGTGGCGCTATCTGGCGCGGACGCGTGCGGGCCGGTGACCGGGGGTGGCGGCGGACGCCGCCGCACCACGAAAACAGGCCACCTCCGACCCCGCTGGCTGTCTGCTGCCGGAAGTGGAGCAATCTGCGACACGTTGTAAATGCCCCAAACTGCTTTTGATAGGCAGCTGCCTCCCCTTGTGACAACGCTCCGGGCACCTGTGGGCTGTGCATCAAAACATGGACAAACGCCATGGCACACACTTGAGGGCAGTTGTTTCGCTGAACCCGTAAGAAATGCCGTTGCTCGCACCTGGGGATGGATTATTCACTGAAACCTGAACGAACGGCATTCCACACACTTGGTGGTAAGTCATTTACTGAAACCTGAACAAACGCCACAGAGCAGTTCCTAAGGTCGCATAACATTGTTGCTACGCCGCGCCTGCCAGAAATCTAAATTGGGAACCACATCCGGACGTCTACGTTGCGCAACGGCCGTTCAGGGACTTCATGTTCTGGTCACGTGACGGCGGTGGACTGGCGAGTTTGTGCGCTGACGTGCGTACAACTGATGAATAGTTGGCCGTGACCGGCACCTGTGTGTGTTGTGATCTACGCGGTGCTTGGTGACGCGGCGCTACCTGCCCGTGTCTGTGGAGTGTGAGCCGTGAACCGACGCGGCGTCTCGACGCCCGTGTGTCTGCAGCGCTGCCTGCGTAATCTGATGCGTGTTCGTGCGTCTGCGCGGCGTGACCGGTGACCTGACGCCGCGTGCGCCGGCAGGAGGTGACGTGGGTGGTAGCCGACTACACGGCCCAGGCGGCCGGCGAGCTGTCGGTGAGCCGCGGCCAGCAGGTGGAGGTGCTGGAGTGCGGCGGGCCTGGCTCGCCGCCCCCGCCGGCCGAGCTCTGTCAGGTGCGCCTGCTCCAGACCGAGATGAGCGGCCTGGTGCCGGCCGCCGTGCTGCAGGCGCGGCCGCGCTCTCAGGAGCTGCTGCCCGTCACAGGTGGGTCAGTGGCCGGCGACGCTCCCCGCCGCCGCGCCGTGGAGCAGCAGGCTGTGTCGCCGATACAGCGGCGGGATGTCGCCACCGGTGGAGCGGCCGAGGCGCGCGGCTGCGGCCGCTCAGGGCGGGCGATCTCGCAGCAAGCGTCAGAGGACGAGTGGCAACACGATGCAGCGACTGGCGGCTCGCGTGTGAACGGATTTTTTTAGGCTCGCGCCTTTGAAGCGCTCTGGGGTAACGCTTTTAGTGGCGCGCAGACCCGCTTTGACGGGGCTATTGGCTCTTTAGTTTGGCGTGATTGTCCCAACGATCAAACGCTGGCGTTGGTGGCGTGAGGAGGAAGGCTTAGTTCCTTGGATAGACGGTAGATGGCGCTGGCATTGTCGTCCTGGCCGGCCGAGATCGCGGCGCCGATACCGTCTAAGGCTGGGCAGCTACGCCAAGCGCGGCCGAGATAAAGAATGTCTGGCGATGCCATATTCGTCCGGCCGCCGTACTGCGCGGCGGCGCGGTGGTGCCGGGAGGTGGAGGCAGAGTCGGGAAGCCCGGCTCCGATCGAATACATCTGTCGGTTTTACGTGACAGAGCGCTGGTCTGGGGACTCGGGAGATTCATGCGGACACTGACGCCGCAGCCGACGCTGCCGTGGACGGGTACCGGCGCCGCCGGCTCCGGAGATGAGGCGGGGGCAGTGGGACGCCCAGCTGGCGGGCGTAAACAGAGTCGTTCGGTCCGGTGGCGGCGGCTTTACGCGGCCGGGAGACGGGTGTGAACGGCTCTCGACGCTGGCCGAGGCGTCCGCCCGCCTTCCGTTCACTGGCTGCTGGTTGAAGAGTCAGCGGCGCGGAAAAGTTCGAGGTATTTTACCGGGAGCGCAGCCAGTTGACGACTGACATGTTTCCGCACGTTGGCAGCATTGCGCACCAGCGTTGTGACGAGCGGGCTGCCATCGCTCCGCGCCTGAGGCCATGGCTGGGTTGTCCCGTGCGGCGGCGTTCGGTGGGGCTGGCGCCGGGGCCGCGCGGCGGACGGTGGCGCCACGGCTGGGCCGGTGCGGCGCCGTCGCCTGTCGGTCGCCTCTGACGGATGAGGCGCGGCGCCGGCGGCCGCGTGTGCGGCGGCATTGTTTTGCTGTCGCCCGGGCGGTGGCGCGCCGAAGGCCGGCCAGGTTGGCGAGGCTCGGCGGCGGCCCCGTGCCAGATGGGTGAGCCGGGGCGGCGGGCGGTCATCGCTCCGCCGCTGCCACGCCATGTCACCCGGGCTTAGCGACTTTGGCGATGACCACCAGGCGGCCGGCGGTGGCCGGCTGCGGTCGCCCTCTCCCCCCTGGTGCGGTCGTGCGGTGGCGTGCCGGCCCGAATGACGGCGGGCTCCGGCATCGTACAGAGTACTCGGGACGCGGGGCACGCATGCCGCGGTGGGCGCGCGCGCTCCGACGTGCCTCGCGAGCGGCATGCCGGCGCGCGTGGGGTCGGTCCGGCGCGCGGGAGGTCCGCCGCTCGGCCCAGCTCACGCGCCCGTGGCGCCCCCGCGCGCACCGTGCTGCGCTCCTGCATGCGTGAACGGCTGGCCGAGGCGGCGCGGCGAATGTGACATGCCGGCGGCGGCTGGCGACGGCGGGGATGGGGCGTTACATCCGCCGGCCTCGGCGACGGCCGCCCGGTCGGCGGCGCCTCGTCCGTCCTCGCTGGGCTGCACTCGGCATAGCGCTGGGGCGGGGCCGATGGTTTGTTTGGCCCGCTGCCGGCTGTTAAACTGGCGGCGGCCGTGCCGCGGCCGCCGCGCCTCCCGGTCCGCGCGCAGCGGGCTTCCGGCGCCGGGCATTGTGTGGCGAGCGAGTCTGCGGCACCGCCGCTGCGGGTGGCGCTGCTCCCGCTGCCGGGCCGGCCGGCTGACCGGCGTCCCCCGACGGCCGTCTGCGCGGCGTGGCGCGGCGGCCGCATCGGCGACAGCCGTCCGGGGCGGCCGTCTGCCTGCTCCCAGCTCCTGGTCGACCCAGCGGTGGCGGCCATCAGTCGGTAGTCGCCCCGCGCTTCGTGGTGACGGCCGTGCGGACGCATGTGAACAGCGGTCGGCGTGTCGTTTGTATTCCCAACGCCCACCTCCTTCCACCTCCGTCCTTTCACGTAGTCGCGCAGCGTTGGTTCGGCGGAGCGGCTGTACCGCAGTGCCTGTTGCGCTCGGCTTCATTGTGAGGTGACGGAATGGCGGACGGGCACGCGGTGCGCGTCCAGCAGTTCAGGTCGGACAATGCGAACGCCTCCGGCGCTGCGATAGTTTCGAAGGCGTGGCGACGCTGGGCTGTGATTGAGGATAGATAGGCCGTCGCCAGCCCCCCCCCCCCCCCCCCCACACACACAATCTGCCTAGTAATGGCGATGGCTGCCAAACCTGTAACAGCCCTCCAAAACTGCAACAACTGGGGCACCATTAAATGGCTCGGGAGGAGCCGTTGAGTTCCTCAAAGCTCTTAGTCAACAGAGCCCGGTGTACCGGGGCCGGTCGGATGACCATTGACTGAGCGCCGTGTGAGATGCCACCGAGTCGCCGGGCGTGTGGCGAGTTCTAGTGTTTGCGATGTGCCGCGATTAAAAGGGCGGTGCAGCGCTGACTGCCACACCATTCGACTGGCGTTTGGATCAGGTCGCGCTGCCCGTCTGCATCAGACCACACACCGGGTTGGTGGCTGCTTACCGGACGTTGACTCATATCGGAGCAGATGTGGGCTGCAAATGACAGATGTGTCGCTCTGTCTCTGTCGATCCGTGCGTGCGTGAAGTGATTCCAGGCTCTGGGGCGCCGACCTTGGAACGGATTTGTCGTTTGAATGGTCGGTGATGCGAGGCACGCGTCTTTGTCTCACTTCTGTTGCGTGCCGTCTCTTCGTGGTGGCTGAAATGATTAGTGACTGGACTGCATATAATTATCGTGACGGTCTTTGCTCGTCACGATTGTGGTGTATTCACCAGCTAACTGCTGCCAAAATACAGTGAGGGTTGAAGCTGCAGCTTAGCGCGGTTCAGCATTTTGGAAACGTGTTGTGCGGGGACCACTTTAAATGGCACAAGCCGGTTACGAAATTCACAGTTTCAGCTTTAAGTTTGGGCGCGTATCTGGCCAAACACATCTCAGTACATCCCCATCTGAATGTAAGAAGACACGAATGGGCGCCGTGTTCCATACCGGCGAGTGCACCACGTCATTCATCTAGCTAGGAGTGCGTGGTGAGACATGCGTGGCACTGGGGATGCGTGTTCCGCCACTGCGTCCCGGGGCGCCGGGCTCTATGCGCTAACTTTTACCATTGCATTTGGCGTGAATTACAATTTTCTTATTGGTGCTTTTCTGTTTCCAACCGGAACCTCGTCTGCGCCCTTGCTGTGTGACCAAAGAAAGCAACAGTGTTTATCTATCCCCTAATCAGAGTTTGTTTTTGCTTCCATTGCAGAGGAGGGGGGGGGGGGGGGGCGCGTTACAGTTCACAATGTCTGCAGTTCAAAATACCCACAAAATAGTTCTGCCTTGGTCCGCCAGGGAGACAAGTTTCGTTTTCGCCCTCATGGGAGAGGGCAGCGCCAAGCGTAACTTATGAATTGTGACATGACGTTAATTCGAACACATGCACTAAAGACAATTGTACGGACTCTTGCATTTTGGAATCCACCGTCACAGTTGCAAGGGATGTGTATGCCAGAGGCCCTGACCATCTTGGCTATTGTCCGCATCCGTCCAGAAGTTTATCGCGAATATCACCCTACATTACTGCACTGGAGGGAAACTCGGCCATTGCGCCACGGAGAATTATTGATCGGGCCGAATCGCTCAGTCACGATTTGTTTACCGCGCTGGTGTTTAGCGATTTAATTTTGTTCTGGCGGCGTTTGCTGATGCCTATTTGTAGAGCCTTTGTCCTTGACATGTACTCAGTGAGTGCGTTAGCTTTTTTTCTGTTTCTTCCAAGACCGCTGCTAGCTAATGGCGGTGCCTTCGCGAGAAATGAGGGGCTGACGACGATTGGTGGATGTGAGTGGCCAGACTACGACTGTCGGCCATGTAACTTGCACCTTGCGTCGCTCCGCTGACACTTTCGTGACAGTCGTGTTTTCTGAGGAAAATGGCATGTAATCTTTGGAGCTCAAGCAATAGTGCCAGATCTTGTCCTGCCGCGATAACGGGTCAACCGGTTGGTGAAGTGTCAAATACGCTGTTACCCGAGATATGTTATCGGCAGGTGGATCGATGTCATTCTTGATGTCTGATGCGAACGACTTGTTCGTGTAGCTGCAGATGTTCCACCGGCTCGGGCCCCTGCGTACCTGCTGATGCCGTCCGGCCGCCTGGTGCGCCTGCCGTGATGTGCGGCGCGTGGCCGAAACAGGACGATTGCGTGCCAGGGAAACTGTGGGACAGCGCGAGGCAGTGGGGAGTCTGGGCTAGGCTGGGAGCAAAGGCGAGGTGTGGTGTGATTGCGCGGGGTGTGCGCCTTCGCCCTCGCTGTCTTCCGAGTTTTGCATCTGACTGGGTGCCGGGGGGGGGGGGGGGCACGTGACCGCGGGTCTCCCGATTCGCCGGGGGTCAAGGGTCGGCCGCTGAGGCGGCGGCAGGGACCCGACGCTCGCAGGTGCCAGTCGGTTTTTGGACGAGTCCGGGCGAATACACGCTACGTTCTCTTACACGAGGCTACGCGATCGTCACCAGCAACTTGTCAATCAGCTGGATCTTAACTGCACAGAGTGGAATCGGGCAAGAATATTGTTGCACAGATGACGATGAACGACAATGAATAAAAATGTTGATTAATTATACTAATGATGAATTAAAAGCATAACGAGCCTGCATGATCGCGTGATCTTGGTTTTGCGTCATGCCGCCACTGTTGAGCGTGCGGCCGTTAGGGCTGGCCCCACATGCGTCAGGGGGAAGAGACGGGCGTGCCGGTCGCCGCGTGCCAGCGCTGAGCAGCAGCCGGCGGCGGCGGCTCGGCGGACGCTCGTGCTCGG